AGAGAACACGACTCTGATTAGCATACAAACTACACGCGGCCGTGTCGGTTCTCCGCGTTCTGATTGTGTGCGCAGTGCCGTAGCTAAAGTTGCTGATTCTCATGGCGAAACACTAGATTTACTGCCTTCCTATCCAAAAATAAGACACTGTATACATATATAGATAATATTAATAAACTATCAAAAGCAAAATAAAATTTTCCATTGTATAACAATAATACCAATTAAGTTGCTCTGGTAATCAAATAATGATGAATTAGATATATTTTTGAATTTTTATTTATATGCCTACATGATAAAAAGTATAAATAAGATGAGATAAAAAGATTAAATACGAGATCTACGTATATAATAATTTCTTTGTGTAAAAAATTTCTTGTGCAAAAAAAATCAATTTTAAATAAAAATCTCGTAAAAGAAACTGCCGTCTTAAATTTAGATCGCTTAATCTTAAACTTAAATCGCTTTCACTCGGGCATAGTAGTTACGGTTCTGTGCGCTTCGTAGGAACAAGCACCGGGAGATCTGCAATAATATGGAGAACCGACGACCAACACGAGGACAGAGAGGAATCGCGAGAGCGTGTGAAACGGCGGTGGAGAAATGCCGAGAAAAGGAGGCCGATGCCACCCACAAAGCAACGAGCCGCGAGACGCCGCGCCGCAACGTTCGAGACGTCACGCTCGATAATGGACCACAGCCATTACGATAAACGCGAAAACAAAGTCACGATTGTCCCGAATGGCGGAGAAACTCCGCTAATTTTTTGCAACACGAGAATTTGCATAGGAAATGTATGAAAACTGATTATTGGCGCTTCACAGTTCTATAATATTGCTCATAATTAAAAAGAAATTAATGAAAAGTAGAAGAATATATTTAATACTTTTAATTTTTTAAAGAATATATTTGATATGTTCTTAAAATTATTGATTTTATATATTTTTTTGTTTATATAACTATTCCACGTTTCACCTTTCTTATGAAGCCCTTATTTAAAGCAAAGAATCGATATTCTTTTTTTTTTAAATTATTTTAAGGATCTTTTTTTAAAAAAATATCAGAATAAAAATCTCGATGTTTCTTTTCCATTTTTTGAATAAATTAAATAAATATGACTCAGATTCTAACATAAAGATTGACGCTTTATAATGTTGTTTTCATGAGCAACTTGTAATTTGTACCAAAGAAAAGTACTCGACACACTCCCCTCTATCAGATATCTAATTTTATTGTGGTTGATCCTAATTCACTCTGGCGTACGAGTGTTCAGTATGGGTCGCACTTATGTACGATAAACACCCACAAAGCGCGAATATGGGAAACCGGTAACACTTGAGATACTTGCGGCGTGGTCGTGTCGATAATGACCGGGCATTACGATAAAACGCGCGAAAACAGGGCCGCCGTTATAGCGACGAGTGTGCCTTCGAGGGTCGCTGCTAAAGAACCGCGTTCAATTGTGAATGCGAGGCACTGTGCTGCCCAAAATTGTCCTCTCGACCGGCACTTTCTGGTCCGATGTTCATCGATCGATCATCATAGAGCCACGAGAGGCGTGGATTCACTGTTCATTAGCAGAGAGTTAATCGCAGGTTAACAATCTGTTCGAATGATCCAGAGATCGGATGACGTGGACGGTCGGATGGAACCAGTTAGGCGAGAGATGTGTTTAAGATTACAAGCGGAGCGTGTAAGGCAAATATTAACCGATATGATTGGACGGACGTCTTCGTCCATGCACAGGAAATTTCACGTCGCTGACGTTATCTCCGTTCCATAAATTCCACGCGTAGATTTCTTAGAACCTTTTTGCCTTTTTTCAACAAAGAATTGCAAACGCACTATTTTCTTATTCTGTTCAAGATTAAATGAAGAATGAGCTTCCGTCGTTTGAATTTATTAGAAGCGAACCGAAGAGAATTGAAAAGAACGACGAGCGGCTGGGGGTTCAGCAAGAAAGTGACAATTGTGAAAAAAATTGCGTAGTCCCTCGTACGAAAAAGTATAGCGTTGGAAAGTGTGCAGGATAGTCCCACCCTTCGAATTGTCAACTTCTCCACGCTTCTCCTATTCGTCTTATCGAGCCGCTCCATTTTTTACCGCACGTCCAATCAACGTGCGACAACGGCGGCGCAACGGAGCTTTCGCTTGCGGCTGTGTCCGTAAATCTCCCAAGTAAGCCACCCCGGACGTCGGTAAATGTATTTTCCCGTGTCCCGCGGATCCACGAAACCGTGCCGACTAGCATGAGCCACCGTGTCACAAATTACTGGCGCGTTGTTCCGCTGTCGGCGGTACGTAACAGTGCCTGGGCGTACGCCCATTTCAGGAATGGCCTATTTCTGCTTTAATTTAGGACTCACTGGAATGCCAATTAGGCGTACTGTTTTCTCGTTGAGACTCCATGGCAAAGGTCGAAATCCACGTGAGACAATTTCTAAGTTGTCTCATATATTTCCAAGGTGTCATGTATTGCAAAGAAGAAAAGTACGCTCCAATTTTTTAAATTTTCAAAGGACGAGCGACAAATTCTATGTCTGAAAGAACGAAGCGAAATATATCGTGCGAATTTCTAAAATTTCGGGAGAGAACGGTCGAAAAGTTCCCTCGGCTACCGCTGTGCTCTAAATAAATTACCTACTATGGTTGCTTGTAGATCAGCACGCGGTACTGCGAGCAAGAACCGACGTTGTCTACGACAGACTGCAGGTAGTAGTGGTGAAACCAGGCGAAGCTTTGTTTTTGGCTAATTTAGGGCCCATTAGTGCGACGACGTCGCCCTATTTCCTTCCTCGCTGCTTGTATCTCAAGATGGTACAGATAAAAATTCCAGGCGAAAGTTCAAATGGAGAAATAACCGTGGCGTTTTACTTATTATGCAACGTCATCTTCACTAATTGTTATATATAACGATATTACGCGCGGTCACCTTTTTTTCGCGAGAGCGCAAGATGGCATCCTCGTTAATTACGAAGTCATCATCTAATCTCACCGCGACCTAGATCTCGGTGCACGATATGGGAACCAGAGCCACAGGCTGTCGGAAACACGGTTAGGTATTAATTAAAGTGGCAGGCTTTCTCGCCGCGTCTTCGGGTGCTCCATTTTCGGCTAATTTAGGATACGCTCAAGAGCAACGCTCTCATCTACGTGCTCTCGATCACTTTGCTCACTATCAGGAAAGTGGAAAAATTATATAATCGTATCATAAAAACTCAATTGACTATAACGTAAGCCTATTGTAGCTATATGTGAACGTTCTGTGAAAACTACTTTTAAGATTTTTAAGACCGATTTATTTACTCGAGTATCTATTTTCTTGTATATTTAAGGTACATACATATTGATTTTATTGCATAGAAACAATGACTTTGTGTTGGAATATCTGAAAATTTATCTAGATACAGATCTAAGAATAATTATGTTGGATCATCAAAATAATTATGTAGAAATTTTAAACATGACGAGCAATGCTTTAAAAAGTTCTGACGTTCTAACAATTAGTTTGAGTATCTTATACAACGTAATATAATTATTTTGATGGTCTAACAAAATTATAATAATTTTATATCTGGTTTTAGAAGATACTTCAACAGATACAGATCTGACAATAATTATGTTGAATCATCAAAATAATTACGTAGAAATTTCAAACATGATGAGCAATGCTTTAAAAAGTTTTAACGTTCTAACAATTAGTTTGAGTATCTTATACAATGCAATATAATTATTTTGATGGTCTAACAAAATTATTTTCATATCTGGTTTTAGAAGATACTTCAATACAGTTGTTCTTGACATGCAATAAAACAAGTATATGTATGTTAAATGTACAAGAAAAATCTTTAGCAAAATCGTGTGACATTTATAAAGCAAGATTTTAATCTTTCTAACAATAATTGCAAAAATTGTATAATAACATAATATATGTATAATGATATTCAAACAGACTACTGTATCGAATTTGACAGAATGAGTGTATTCTCAAAAGGAATATTTGTAGAGCAAACGTTAAATCTTTCTAACGATAATTGCAAAAATTGTATAGTAACATAATATATGTATAATGATATTCAAATAGACTACTATATTATATTTGACAGAATGAGTGTATTCTTGAAAGGAATATTTGGAGAGTAAACGTTAAATCTTTCTAACAATAATTGTAAAAATTGTGAAGTAATATATTAGATAATACTATTCAAACAGACTACTATATTATTTTTGACAGAATGAGTGCATTTTTGAAAGAAACATTTGGGGAGCAAACTTTAAATCTTTCTAAGAATAATTGCAAAAATTGTAAAGTAACATATTACATAAAGCTATTCAAACAGACTACTATATTACTTTTGACAGAATGAGTGCAATCTTTGAAAGAAACAGATTTTTGACAGAATGAGTGCATTCTTAAAGGAAACAGAGGCTTCACTAAATCAAAAATCGATAGCTGACATTTTAACCATCGACTACGGTATCCGTGACACAACATTTTCTTAGTAGAAACCTAAAGCTCCCCCTTGGTGCGGCTTACCGCGCCATAGATCATCGTCCGGTACGAGGAGGCAGAATAACCGGCGCTGTCGAGAACAAACCGACGGATGCTCGTTTCCTCGTCCTAGCTCGTTGTTCTATTTTTGGTTAATTCTGGTGCAATCGGTAACGCTCTCTCTCTTACATCCCCACACAACCTCGCCCTTATTCACTCCCCATGTGGTCGTCCCTTTCTATTTCTTCGAGTCGCGTAAGAATCCAAAGGTGGCCTGTGCTCTCAATTCCTTAAAATACGGTTACATGTTGAATGACCTCGAATCTCGAAAACACGAGGCTGTACGACGTCCCAGCGTGAAAGAAACGGAGGTTTTATTGTGAGAAACGACCATTGACAGCTCGAGAACTTCGCTGCAGAGATTTTTACCGTATCGCTATATACTTGTTGGTATTGTATGATATCGTCTGACTAGTAACAGAAAACGATAACAGAGAAATCTACTTACTTCCAGAAAACGACGGACACAATCGCGGCCATTAGTAGAAGGACCACCGCGCATGTGATGATTAGGGCAGTGCTTTGCAACGACGGGTTTGTATGATAGGAGGCGTCGATCATCTGAAAAAAGAGAATCATCGTTACAGCATATTTGAGTAGTTTACATAATAATACAATATTTACAACTATTGCTAACACAATATCTATACATTTATTTTAGATATTATAAATAATATTATTATATATAAATTGCTTATTTTATCGAACGTATTGCAACACGTGACGCGAGATATTTGTATCATACACAGAAAGAATCTTGCTGAAATATCTAAAAATTGTGCTAGAAATAGCCGAAAATTGAGCTAAAAATAATTTTAAACTATTAAAAATAATTGAAAATAATTTTGTTAAACCATTAAAATAATTATATAGCAAACTCAAAAATAATGAGAAATATCGCGAATAATTTTGATATTCTTGCAACCAGTTCGAGTGTTCTACATAATTATTTTAATGGTTTAACAAAATTATTTTCAAATGTATATCTGTAGTTAACTTTTAGATACTTTTTTTTTAAGTCAAACTATTTTTTCCTTGTACAATAGAATCATAGAATATAGTTATGAGAATAGTTTTACGTCAAGTTTTTAATCTGCATCTATTTTGCGTTTGCGCTGAATGGATTTCGACACTTTATGGCGACTGGGAAAACCGGTTTCGTTGGCGATGACCGATAATGAGATCGCGGATATAAATTTTCTCATTTTCTCACCGAAGAGAGTTGCAAAAACGGCGTCGTGCAGTATGATATTATGCGACGCCGCCGTGTTATTATGCTGCCGTCGCGGGCGCGATAATACCGGAAGAGGCGAATTAATCGCCGTGGAAACAGCTTCATTCGTTCATTCCGACAGACTTAATCGAGACAGCGAGCAGCTTTGTGCTGCCATCGTCGTGAAGACGTGCTTTTACCCCGAACATGAAGAGAAACCTGCACGTTAACCGCCATTTGTGCAACAACGTGAATTATTACTCACACACCTCCGCTTTTATTTCTAGTTTATTCCTGTATACATAGTTATTATTTATCGCTATCTTTTTATTTGACGCATTTAATATTTAAAGTGCCAAGACTGCTCAGCCACAGTTGAGCCGAGCATTAAAACATATCTATGTCGTATTTGTATAGAAAAAATGAATTAATGCTTTTACAATGTTGATGAGTTATGTACTTTTGTTTGCCACGATCTTCATATATGAAAGTACTTTTTTAAAAATAATAATTTATAATTAATGTGATTTTATAAAAATGAATAAATGCCATTTTAAAATGCACACAAGGAAAGAACAATTCTGCTAAATAAAGTATAAAAATTTAGCCAGACAAACAAATTTGAAAATAATTTTGTTGTAACCATTAAAATAATTATATAGAACGTTTAAAACCAAAAGCCTGCATACAGTTTGAATATTCTAGCAATTAGTTTGAACATCCTACATAATTATTTTGATGGTCTAAAATTATTTTTAAATCTTCATCTAGCTAAATTTTTAGATACAGCGAAACGTCTCTTCCATGTAACAAGAAAGAACAAACCTGATATAGTTCAACAGAGAAACTTAAAACAGTTTAATTAAGCTCTTATAAAAAATTCAAGAATTAATTTCCCGGAGTTTTATAAAGGATTAATGATTTAAAAATTCATTTTTCTCGATATCCCGTAAGAAGACTTCCAGACTTGATACCGTTTCCTTTGCGGATGATCTCATTCGAGGTAGTTACGACGATGAAGGAGGGAGGATTGCGAAAGGCCGATCTGAGGGATCAATTGTGGATCCTTCATATCGATAACCACCGTAACCCTCATTTACGTCTCTACGCGAGAAGATATGGAAGGTAAGGGAGGCGCAGGAGGTGGAGAATTTCGCGGCTGAAATTCCTCGTTTCTCGGACTGGGGTATATTCGATATCGGCGACGGCGCGGCGGCGTAGCGGAACGCCGGAAATTCGTATCGGAATCTCCAACCCCTCCGCCATTGTGACTGGATTCTTCATAAGAGGCACGTAGGTACGCCGGGAAGTGCCCGGGCACACGTGCCGAGTATGATGAGCGCAAGGAAAGGAAAGGGAGCGCATTGAAGGAGAGGGGTGGGACTCTTTTCCTCAGTGTGTTACGTGGGCCGCTTGCGAAAAAGGGAAAGTGATTTTCACGGAAAAAGGATGGGGTTCTCGGGACTCTGAAAGATACTTCCGATCAGCCAGATCGGATCCGCCGCACCGTTTCTATTTTCGGTCCCTCGACGTATCGATCGAGAAGCATTGTAAGAGCGAAATTCTCATTTACCTGACGACACCCTGAAAGAGGCATGGTTGGGTGCTAGTTGATTGGAGGGTTGATTAAACACATACTGATAAGTCTCTCGCTAAAAAAGGGACGCGGAATACAATATGCGGTGCGGAATGCGATAGATAACCTCTGCTACATTATTTGGAGCGTCATAAAGGAAGGCAATATCTATCAAAGGCCACGTGGACAGAAACCTCCTTTATCTCAAGGAAGGATCTCATCCTTGAAAACATTTTCTTTGCTCAACTGAAACTTTGCAAGGTTCATAAAACTCATTCGTAACATTAGAGTTCGCCAAGATGAACATATTCAATGCGAGGTGATGAATGAACGAGTTTGAGTAATGATCGTTATGAAAGAGCGCTTAATTATTTCTCATGGCTGGGAGCGAAAGTCGGAACTAAATTTGGTCCTTCGACGAAGTTGGCGTATCGCAAATAATTCGCGAGCCGGATCAGTTAATTGAAAATTGACAGAAAGAATTTCTGTTTGTCTCAAGATCGATATTTAACGATACGAATCATCAGAGGAATTATAAGATTTATACTACTTTTACGGATATATATGCCTTTAATGCATCTACCCGAAACAAGAAAAAATTTCGGATTATCTCCGGCCATTCTCGTATTGAATAATTGAAGCGCTGTAATAGCCGGCCGAGTAGCCGGCTTTTAATCGCTGCTAACCGATAATATTTAGCGTGTGTAAAGGTTTAATACACCGCGACACGAGCGTATCTCGTCTCATGAAAGGCACGATGAGGAATACACGAGCGCGATGAGATACATTGTGCGGCATGCTATTTGGCAGTGGGCCAAGCAAAGCAGCATTTATCAAAGCCGCCCCTGTAAGCATGTGTATACGTATAATACACGTGCCACCTATACGGCAACGATTGTGAAAGTATAGACGTGTTAGAGCCCTTTGCCTCTACCATGATTTCTCTCTTTCTTTTCCTCTTTTTCTGCGAATTTAAATTTTAATTAAAATTTGAATTAGTATTGAAATTTGCTCGTTCTTACGCAACGGACGTAAAAGTCTTTACGCTCGCGTTTAAAATTTTACTGTCTTATTATGTTGCTCGATGCTGTGTGCAATATACCATCTCGCCTGTCACCTAATCTTAATCCGTATCTTGATAATCTTGATAAAGAAATCGCTGATTATAGTTTCGCAATATAATCACTTAATAACTATTCTATCACAATTAATTGTTAATTACTGATTTAATTTAATCATTTTTTACCTGTTTGTCATAACGATTTCTCATTTTATATAAGAAAATATTTCTTCTTTTTATACTCCTCGTAATGTAGCACCTACCTATATTTACCTGTCCGCCTATCGATCTACCTATCTGTCTATCTATTCATCTCGCCTTTTTTACTTGTTCTCTCTCTCTCTCTCTCTCTTTCTTCCTTAACGTTATCCGAAAGTAGTTCGTCCTCTTCTGATCCGCTTCGTTCTCCGCGCGGTGGCTCATCGCTCATCATTACCGTGATATTAATGGCGTTGGCTAATGGATTCAGTTGAGAGACCAGCGTCAGTAAGAGAATCCCCCTTCCTCTGGAAGTGATCACCTCTCTTCATCTTCCCCATTTTCCTGGCGCGGTAGAATTCGGAAAATAAATACCGATAGCATGCCGTGATGTATTATGTCATTCTCACTAGGAAGATAGACCCCGGAAAAGGTAAGGAAGAGAAACAAAATTCAAGCTCGAATTCTTAAAAATTGAGAGCGGAGGGATTTCTATGTGAGAGGTAACGGAAAATAGTGGAGAAGAGAAGTGGAAAAGTCGAATATCATTCTGCCGTTGCGAAGAGAAAGCGGATCGCGCGATGCACCGTGTCAGTGACGCACAATGTGGTTGCACTTGCAGCTGCATGCGGTTCGCCACGATACTCCCCACGCCGCCCGCGGTAAAACGTACACGAGGATGAATAATATTCTAGATACGTTTTTGGTAAATTATGTGATCACAATCACGCTTACGAGATTAAACAGAGCAATTATCGAATAATTCATCACGTCATAAATTAATTTATGTACATGTGCGACTTCCCGTTCGCGTTATTGTGGATGTTAAATTAATTTTGCAATTTCTCTTAAGAATAAAGTGAATTTTTGGACATCGTAAATTAGTTTACCCGTTACCTGAAATAGATTTATGAATATTACAAATGGTAAGAGACGTTTTTGGCTTTTGCGAAATTGGAATTTTTGTATTCAACGATACGCCGTTGTATTTTCCGTGGTCATTCTGTGGATGTATGTATTTCGTGAACAGGAAAGAGCGACACCGCCAAAGTCGGGTATGGGCAGCACATACGAGCTTCCGGATTTACGCGGCGGAACATAGGGCGAATCGAAGCTCGAGTAACTCGACGCCAGATCCAATTAATGGGTTCCTTGTGGAAAGCCGCACGCGTAGCGCAATGAACGTAACAACGATCGTAATCGAACGGAACTGCATCATAAGAGAGGGTGAAAGTTCCCTGATTGCGGAAGCGGATAACAGCGACGGGAAAGGGATATGCAACGGTATATTTAAGCTCGGATCTTCGAGTTCTATACATCTGTATAGGATATCCAATTAGCTTCTTTCTTGTGATATAAATGTGAGATGTTTAAAATCGACTATTTTTCATTATTATTAAAAAAAATGCTTAGAAATATATAAAATTAATATATTAACCAACTTTTTATACAATAATACGAGAAATAATGCACAAATTAAGCTCATTGGCAGTACATTCTCTTCAGTAGAAATT